GTCTAATACAAAATAATCAATTCACAGAGAAAAAAAGCAAGATTTTATTGATATTATTTTTTTCTTTCATTTTAAATTAACAAAATTATATATTAAATATTCAATTTTTATACATCCCTCTGATTTTCTAATTTTTTAATCATTCATTCTTCTTCTTTGACATATTTTAAATTTTAACATAGCGTTAAAATTGTTAATTAGTAATGTCAATAATGAGTTTTAAGAAAAAAGATGAAAATTGAAAAATTTATTGTAATTCTTCCAATGAGTCATTTGCTCGACCAAACTCATCGGGTGGTTTACGTTAAAAAAAAAGAAATATTTCCTGTTCTTCCTATTATTCTCTTTTTCAAAATAAAAATCATTCATTTTCTTTTTCTTTTCCTTGCTCCTTTATCAATTCTAACTAAATTTTTTCTTTTTCCCTTTTTTTTGGAAATATATGAATTTCAAATATTAAAATATTTTAATTATGCTATTGCAATACTCTTATTAAATCCTAATTGTTCCATTGTAATAATTTTAATAAGCTCTAACAGTCCTGTTGTAAGGTTTGATAGGCCCAAACTGATTTCTTGTAACGCTTCTAATAAGCCTTAACTATGCTATCAATGCTTTTAATGAGTCACAATTATTCCGTTGTAATAACTTCCAACAAGTCTTAATTATCTTATGGCAATACTTTTAACAATTCTCAATCACTCCACTGTAATGCTTCTGACAGGCTTTAACTGTCTTATCAGTACCTTTGGTAGGTCTCAATTGGGCTTTAACAGATCTTAATTATGTCAATACTTTTAATAGGCCTTAATTACATCATGATGATACTTTCAAAAGAGGCCTTAATTATGTCATACTTTTAATAGGTCTTAATTATATTATGATAACACTTTCAAAAGAGGCCTTAATTACGTCGATAGTTCTAGTAGGCCTTAAATATATGATAACAATACTTTCAAAAGAGGCCTTAATTACATCAATACTTCTAATAGGCCTTAAATATATCATGTCAATACTTTCAAAAGAGGCCTTAATTACCTTACAGCAATACTTTTAGTAAACTTTAATTGTTCCATTGTAATATTTCTAATACGTTTTAACTATTCGACCAATTCTTCTAACAGGCCTTGATTTTCTTCCGGAAATGCTATGCTTTTATTAAATTCTAATTATTCTATTATAATACTTTTAGGCCTCAACTGCCTGTAATATTTTTACTTTGCCTTAATCATCTTATCGTTAATTGTCCTATCGTAACATCGATTTTATAGTTTTTCAACAAATTGAAAATTGAAGCATTATATGTTTTTCGGAATTTTTGATTCAACCTAAGGGATCCGGTTGTTTAATGACTCATACCGAGGACAGGCGGGGAATTTCATTGAGATGATACATCTATCAAAACATAACAAAAGTCCCATATGACTAGCTCAAAACCTGCAATTGCTAAAATGTATTTGCCTTAAATGTATTGGAGTGATACTTGAACAATTTACTTTATCGTAATACCTGTAATAGATCTAAATTTCTTACGGTATTACTTTTTGTAAATGTTGATAATCTTTATTGATTATTCAAATTGATTTGATTTTGTTCTATTTGGGAAATTTTTTTTTTAGTTCAAAATTGCACTGATTGATGAAGTAACAATAGGATACTGTATCATTTATACTCAATAATAATTACCGGTTTTAATGGAATTATTTCATTAGTCAATAATTGGAAATGTTTACAGTAATTGATTACACTTGAATTACGTCAAAAAATTCAATCCAATCAAAAGACATTTTAATTCCGTCAATGTTTTTTTTTCTTTTTTTTAACAAACAATTTGATTAAACTCCTAGAAAACTCTTTTATTTCTTTATCATTTCAAGTTTTCATTCCTTTCATAAACTTTCCCAAAACAATAATTTTTAATACTGTTCAGGCATAAAATTTTTTTTGCTAATGGTGAAACTGCTAATTACTAAATTTCTAATTACTAAGTTGCTAATTACTAAATTGCTAATTACTAAATTGCTAATTGCTGGATTGCCTTTGCTAATTTATTTAATAATTTGAAAATATTAGCAAAATATTTTTGAAATATTAAGAATTTTTTTTTCATTTTTTTAGAAGGGATGGGTATGAAATAATTCGCAAAAAATTAGCATATTTTGTTGATTGATGAAATTTTTAACTAAATTTTGTTTGAAAATGTTTCTCCACTTCATCTTCATTCAGTTTTCAAATTCATAATAAAGAGAGAGAAAAAGGAAGGGAGAAAGAGAGAGAGAGAGAGAGAGAGAAAAAAAAAGTTTATCCAATTTTTTTTTTTTACTACTTTTAAAATAAACCAAATACATTTTCAATTCTTTCACATCACATTGTATTTTATGTAAACAAACCAGCAAAACTAAAAATAAAATTGAAAAATAAAAATTTTCTTCTTTTAATCTGTGCTTTTTTATTCCTTTTTTTATAAAATACATTTATTTAGAAAAAAAACTTTTTTTCCAAAAAAGAAAAGAAATAATTTGTTTAAATTCTTTCTTTTAAAAAAAAATATATATATATATTAAAAAAAGTATATTTGTATAAATTAAATGCTTATTTATAACGGAATTTTATCATATTTTTCATTTTAATCTTTCTATTTTTTTTTTTTGTTTGCTAGAAATTTGATCAAAAAAAAAAAATGAAGTAAATTTTGTTAATGAATAATTAAAGAAATGATTATTTTAAGGTATGACAAACCTTACCGAAGGTCTAAAAGTGGATGAAAAGAGCAAAGATGCATCGATAATTTTTAAGGAAACACAATCAATGCCAGAGAATAATAATGATGCTAAAAGGAGGAAAAAAAGAATTCGATGACAACAGAAAGAGACCAATGGTCAGGTCCATTCGATTTTATCATGTCAATGATCGCATATGCTGTTGGACTGGGTAAGTATGATAAAAAAAAAAAAAAAAAAAAAACTAGAAGTGATAAAAAGAAATTAATTGGAATAAAATTTTAGATTGCATAATTAGTAAATGTTAAGGCATATGATTTTAAGAAAAAAGAGAAATAAAACAACCAATTTGTAAAAATTTTTTTTTTTATTCTTTCTACCAATTGTTTAATCATTTTTCATTAATTACATGCAAATTAATTTGCATGAAAGTATTACTTAAATTATATTAAATTTTCGTAGATATTACAATTATTGAAGTGATTGTAATATTAAACTGACAATATTATTAAATTGTAATATTAATATTAATATTATTAAATATTATTAAATTGTATATTGTTAATTTATTAAGCTGTATATTATTAATATTATTAAGTTGTAATACATCAATATTATTAAATTTTGATCTCAATATTATTGAACTGTAATGCAGTGTTAACAAGTATTATTAAATTGAGTGTCAATGTTATTAAATACTATTAAATTGAGCGTTATTAATTTTGTTAAATTGTAATATATTAATATTATTAAATTGTAATACATTAATATTATCAGATATTACTAAATTTTTATTTTAATATCATTAAATTCTAATACAATATTATTAAGTATTAAATTAAAAATATGTTATTAAATAGGCAATATTATTAAACTAATAAATATATTATTAAATAGATAATATTATTAAATTTGTAATAAGTAGCTGTATTATCAAACTGTTAAATTGTAATATTGAGCAAATTACAGAAAATTTTGCTAAATTTTCATTAAAAAATAGGAATGAATAAAAATTTTTGAAGCATAACAGATGTATATATCAGAAAACTTCAGATAAGCTAAAATTGTCAAACAATTAGCAATTTGAAGAATTAATTGATCGTATTGAATAATTTAAAGTTTATATCGAAGTGAATAAACTTTTTCGAGGAGACTTATTCATTTATTTATATACTTATTAGGCAGATCAAAATTTTATAATAATGATAGTAATAGGATTAAATATTCTATCGAATGATTATATATTCAAAATTTTTAATTTTTGCATTTTTAAATTTTTAAAAGATTATATGAAATTTTTTTTTAGGCAATGTGTGGAGATTTCCATATTTATGCTTTAAAAATGGTGGTGGTTCGTTTCCTTTCCTGTTTTCTTGATAACTTCAAATTTCAAGTAAAAATTTAAATTTTAGAATAAAGGATAAAGTTTTTGTAAAATAATTTAATAATATTTTTTTGCTAAAAGTATTTGTTTAAAATTGTTGTTAAATAAAATTCAAATGTATGTTAATTTAACAGGTTCATTCCTGGTTGTTTACATAATATTTTTTTCACTTGGCGCAATACCTGTCTTTATTATGGAAATTACAATAGGACAATATGCACAACGTGGCGCTATGGAAATTTGGAATTTATGCCCATTATTTAAAGGTTCATTAAATGAATACCGTAATTTGTAACAATTAACAGTAACGTAATTTAGTCATTTAAATCCAATTCTTTGTATATACAGGCGTTGGTATCGGCAATGTTATGATTGCATTTATGTGCATCGCATATTTTTGTGTCATATCAAGCTGGTCCATCTTTTATATGATTAATTCGCTGTCATTTGTCTTTCCATGGGAAACATGCAATAATTGGTGGCAAGTTTTTCTATTAATCATATTAATCTATTTCAACCTATACCGTAACTTATCTCAATGAATACAGTACATTTTTTGATTATTCATATTGCCGTAATCCATTTTAACGGATACAGTAACTTTTATATTATTCATACTATCGTAACACATTTTGATGGGTACGGCAACTTTTTTATTATTCATGTTATCGTAATCCATTCCAGTGAATACAGTGACTTTTGATTATTCATATTACCGTAGCCCATTTGGGTATATACGGTAGCTTTTCGATCATTCTCAACTGGTATATACATATATGAATTATGCATGCAAAATATAACTTATTTTAACTTATGAATATTATTAAACATTTACATATATATGTTTACATTGGTATACATTTATGATCATTTAGCGGTAATTTTTCTTTAGGAATGATAAAACATGTATAACTGGACGTGAAAATGCAACAGTAATATCTGGACTTATTGCAAATTTGTCCAAATATAATTTAACTACTGAAACAAGTGTTGAACAATACTGGGAGTTAGTTTGAATATTTCTGCTATCATTTCTATTTGCTAATAATTTTTGTCCTAAAACTAATATAAATTAATGCAATTATTGATCGATTATTAACTGATAAAATATTATTAGAAATAAATTTTTATTAATTATAAGAGGAAAATTAATTATTAAAATCAAAAAAAAAAACAATGCAAAAGCGTTATTTAAATTTGAGCTAAACAAATTTTAATAAATAATAATTTTTTTTTTTTGTCAATCAAATATTACTTTGTATTTTTTGATAGCATTAAAATATCAATTTAAATTGATTTAATCATACTCTAAAAAAAAAAAATATTTTGTTTTTTTCTTCTTTTACAGACGACGAGTGCTGATGCAAACAAATTCGATATCAGACATTGGTGGAATTCAATGGGAACTTCTCGGAATAATGACACTGTCATGGATTGTCGTGTATTTCGCACTTTGGAAAGGCATAACACGTGCTCGCAAGGTAAACAAAAAAAAGAAGAAAAATTAATTGGTGTAATTAGAATTACGAATAAATCTGGCATAGTTGTATTAAAAATATAAAATATATTTTCTTCGTCCTCTTCATGTTCAATCATTAATGGTTTTTAGGTCTAGTGATTGACGTTAAATTAGGCAAAAATATTTTACAAATAAGTTATTACTTTTTTTTTGTGGAAATTTTAATCAAATTTCAATTTATAAATAAATTTTTTCAGCGGAGTTATTTTACAGGATTATGTAATGGCCTATTTTGCATTTTTTCGGCCAAGCAATTGCTGATTTTCGGGTATTTTTCCATTTCTGGAATATTAAATTAGGGCTGACTTCCAATGTATTGCCATTTTAGTTTGCTTCAAATTGACGACGAAGAAAAAGCAATAATTAATTAAGTAATTCGTTGTAATAAGTAGTAAGTAACCAGTAAGATAGTTAAAAAATTAGCACGCAAAGATAAAAAAAAAGAAAAATTCAATGATAACTATAATAGTTTTTTTTTTTAAATTATAGGAACATATCTAAAATTTGACAATTTTTTTCTTTTTTTTTTTTGTTATTTTTAGAATTAGTTAAGAGGACAAGTTTGTAACAAACAATCTGAGCTCTTGGACATTAAGTATTCCAATTCCATTCGGTGTTGTTCAACGTACGCATACATATATACCCGACGAATTTATTGATCCTCTAAACAATTTGCCAAAAATGGCAGGTAACTTTTGAGATTGAGTTTTTCTGGGAAACAAAAAAGACAAAAAAGGAAAGAAATGCACTTGAAAATATAAAATTAATTTGGGTAATTAAAAAATACAAGTAATTACCAAAACTACTCATTGATTTGGATAATTTTGGTAATTAATTAAAAAAATACGATGTTGTTATTACGTTGTTTAGGGAAAGTGTTTAATTGACAATGTTAATTAAATTCAAATGTTTTTCGAAATCGCAAAATTTCGTACCTTATCACTTCAGCAATCTTCATCGTCAATTTATGGCCGTAAAAAAATGAGGTTAAAATTGGAAGTCTCGGGAGGAAAGGTTGGAAAAAAAACTGTCACACTTTTTTTGATGTGTGTGTAAATGATTTTTGAAATTCTAAATTTGACGAATATTTAAATATTCTTGAATATGGAATGAATTTCAAAATTTTCCGATGGTATCATTTTTTTCTTTTTTTTTGACAGCTAAGTCACAATTTGTTATAGAAAAATGGATTTAAGTACATTTTAAATTAATTGATAATGATGATGGCAAAAATAGGGAGAATACGGCAGCTAATGACAATTTTGGGGACACTTAATTAAATTACTAATTAGCAAAAAAGTAACTGCAGTTTGGAAGATAAGTTATTTTTGTGATAATAAATGATTGAGTGACGTCGTAAAGTTTTTCAGAATTTTTCTTTTTGTTTTTTTTTCTGCTAAGAAATATTGGAGCATATTTTTATGCTACAAATCGATAAACTTCATGAGATTCATTTGTTTAAAAAAAAAAAAGACGATGAAAAAGAAATGAGAAAGTGATTGGCTTTAAATCATTCTCATTATCAGTTTGTTATTGAAGATTTATAATGGAATCTAACAAATTTATGAATTTCGGCATTTGTCTTCAATCAATCCTTTTTTTTTCAATTAAATATTCAACTGATATTAGATTATCATTCAGTATTTCATCCTTCTTAAACTTCTTCAAAACTCTGATGAGTAATTTTAATTCAATTAGGAAAACTTAGATAAACATTAAAATGAAATATTTAACATTTCAATGATTATCATTTCTTACATCATATTTTATTCTGTTATGATATTTTCACTGCTTATATTGTATTCATATCCTTCAATAAATAATTATCGTCTTCTTTTTTTTTCTTTCTCTTCAAAATTTCCAATATTTTAGCACATTATAAAAACAAATTAAATCATATAAATAATGATTTACTTATTTGATCTAATAATTATCGTAATTCGATCGAAATAAATTTTGTTCATATCTTTATTTTCAGCAATCATATGATAGATTATTTTACACACTTATCCAACATATTCCACATCTTTTGATTTCATTTTAGTAATAATGAAATGTATTTCTGAATTGCTGCACAAAATTAAATGATGAAAAAAGAAAAAAAATGGAATATCTTTTCTCTTTTTTCCTTTTTTTTTTAGTATGGAAGGAGAATAAATATTAAAATTTAATTAAAAAAAAAAAAGCTCTTTATTTTTTGCAGTTTGTGTATTTTTGCGCGTTATCACCGTATTTCATGCTGGTAATTTTGCTCGTTCGTGGCTTAACATTACCGGGCGCTGAAATTGGCATACATTTTTACCTGACACCAAATGCGACAAAATTATGGGACATCACAGTATGGAAAGATGCTGGCACTCAGGTATTGCTTTTTCCTTTTATTTTTCTTTTGTCTTCCTTTATATATATATATATATATATATAGTTTTATAAAAATAATTTGTTATAATTTATTAATAATATTTCCCATTTCTCTATTAATTACAAGTATGACATCTCTTTTTTAATTTTAAAAAATTGATTTTTTTCTTGTTGTAAAAAACAATTCCGATTGTTTTTTAATTAGAATTAATAGATTATTTATTTTGATATCAATTTGGTTATTTATTGATATGATTAATTGCAATCAATTAATATTGTTGCTTTAGCTTTCAATTTCATTTATTCTTATTACAACAATTGATCTTATATAAATGCTTGCTAATTTGATTTAGAAAATGATCATATTTAATAAATGGATTAGTATGATTATTTGTTGCATTTCTATATGTTTTAATTAAAAAAAAAAAAAACTTATTCTTAATACTTCCTCTCCCCTTTTGTTAATAATTTGCATATGCAGATAATATTATTAATGTTTTTAATAATCAAATTTTTATTGCTAAAATGCTAACTTCAATTATGTGCTATTAATTAACATCCTTTTTTAAATATATTTTTAAAAATTTTTAAAATATTTTCGAAAACTTTTTTAAATATATTTTTTTCAGTGTAAACTTGGCAATAATAATAATAACAATAATAATGATAATAGTAATAATAATAACAATAACAATGCAAAAAAAAATTTTTAAACATTTAAGAAACATATATTTATATACTTACTTTTGCTATCCTCATAATTATTCGTGCTATTCATTTATTGCCCTCAATAATAATAGTAATAATAATAATAATAATACAAGAAACAAATCAATAAACAATAGACAAGAAAAGAAAAGAAAATATTAATAGAATATACTAATTAATTATTATTCATTTTCAGGTATTTTATTCGTATGGAGTAGGATTTGGCACATTGATTGCATTAGGATCGCATAATAAAAAAACTCATAATTGTTTCAGGTTTTCTCATTTTCTCATTTATATGTATTCGAAAATGTGTAAAAATGATGAAATATTAAAGAATTTAAGTTTAATTATATTAAAGAATTTAATTATATTAAAGAATTTAAGAGTTTGATACAAATACTTTTTACCAATTATTCAAACAATGCTAATTTTATAATAAATTTTAATTTAATTTTTTTTTTAAATACAAATTATTGTAGAGATGGATTTATTATGTGTTTTATAAATGGATCAACAAGTTTAATTGCTGGTATGTTTGATTTTTATCAGGAAATTTTTCGTCATTTTATTATGTTTAATGGGAAAAATGAAAATTTTTTAAGTAAATAGTGGAATTGTCCATCAAATGGCTATATGCATTCTATTAATATGATCAAATAATCATTTGTATGAGGAAGGGAAAAATTTACTCTTGAAAATATACAAGAAGTTTAATTAAATTTTAATTGATTAACTAAGTCGAATAATACTTGTAAATTCTTAAACCTTTTTCTTCGCTTTACTTATTCTAGTTTTTTTAATGTAATTTTAAGATTTTAATTTTTTTTTTCAAGTTTAAATATATTTTGTTCTTTTTTTCTTTTTTTTCATAGAGCCAAATAAATGTATATTAAAAAGAGTATGCAATTTGATAAAGGATGATAATTGCATTACATTTAGGTTTCGTTGTTTTTTCCATCCTTGGTTATATGTCAGTTCTTGTTGGTAAAGATATTGGTGATATTGTTAAACCAGGTTTCAATCTTTCCTATTACATTAAAATGTATAGCATTTAGTGTTGGAGAGATGAATGAACAAATCATCATTTGGTTGAATCAATGAAAATAAATTAAAAATTTTTTATTTTATATAAATGACTTTTCGAATTCGGATATTATATCAGTTTAATCGATAAATCATAAAGTTGAATATTTTATTACAGGACCAGGTTTAGCATTCTTAGCATATCCTGAAGTAGCCAGTAATCTTCCTCTTAAACAACTTTGGTCGATGTTGTTCTTTTTGATGATTACAATTCTTGGCCTTGATAGTCAGGTTAGTAATTTTTTAATCCATTAGTGCATAACAAAAAAAAGAAAAAAGAAATTAGCATAATTTAATGATAATTTCAGATTTGTATGGTAGAAGGTTTATACACTGCTCTTGAAGATGCTTTCCCACATTTTTTGCGCAAATATAAAAAAACATCACTTGCTCTAACCTGTCTATTCTTCTTCATTCTTGGTATCCCAATGGTTACTTATGTAAGATTTCAAATATGTTTTCTTACTGTAGAACTCTTCAAATTTATACGGTGTCTAGTTCACCATATTCATATTATAAGATTTCAATGCGTACATTGTTAACGGATCTGTATGTTGATACTCTAGATGTTCATACTATAAAAGATAATTACATTTAATCATACTTTAATTCATCTACTACATCCACATTAAACAGATGTTCATACACAGTACATCGATCTCCAGACTTATACAGTACCTAGATCATCACACTTATCCTGTAAGGAAATTTCGAAGCGTACATTGTAAACAAATCTGCGCGTTCATACTGTAGATCGATTTTTATGCCTGTATTGCAGGTATTGTAGGAAGATCTTGATGTTTATACTGTAGATAGTTTATGTTTTTATGTTGCAGATAGATTATACGAATAAGGTTGTAATGCTTATACTGTAGAAAAATTTGTTATGTTTTATATTGTAGATTTTAATGCTTATATTTTAGAGACTATAGTGTAGATTAGATTTTAATATTTATATTAGAGACTATAGTATAGATCAGATTTTAATATTTATATTATGGTTAAATCATAACTTTTAATCTAGAAAAATTTGGTATTCATACTGTATGTCGTGATTTCTATTGACCTAAATTCACATTTGTATACAGTAAGTGCATATCTTTATTTCTATAATAATTGGATTTTAATGAATTAAAACTTAAATTGAGAATAATAAATGTTAAGGCTGGCTCATATTGGTTGACGTTATTTGATGCATACGGTGCTAGTGGTATTGCATTATTATTTGTTGTATTTTTTGAAGTTACTGGACTTTCATGGGGATTTGGTGAGTGTTATATTTTGATAATTGGCATTTTTTAATCGATAGTCACTAATCTTTAATCATATTTTATTCTAATGAATTATGTGCTAATTGTTGGTTTAATTTTTTTCAATTAAATTATTCGAAACCAAATTTTTGTTTTTTTTTTTTTCAGGAGCAAATAAAGTAAGTGATGCTTTAAAAGAAATGATTGGTGTAGAACTTTGGGCATGTTGGATTATTGTTTGGAAATTCATTACACCATTTGTTATTGCTGTAAATTATAATTTCATTTTAAAAATTCATACTTTTAAATAAATTTTATATCGAAACAAAAACTTTTTGTATCATTTGATATGTTAGATAATTTTAAATATTTTACAATTTTTGACGGATTCATTTTTTTTTCAACAATATTTTCTTTTTGCAATATATTCTTTTCGTTAATTTCATTACAAAAAAAAAACAAATTTTTGTTAAAAAACAGTTAAAATTTGTCTAGTAATTTTAATTTTTCCCCCTTTTTTTCGTCGCTTACTTTTCTATTTTTTACTAATTTGCGAAAAAGGGAGGAAATCATTGAATACATACTTTTAGGCTTTATTCTTTGTCTGTATTTACAAATATCAACCGTTAAAGTATCCCACCGGAGAAGATTTTCCGGTTTGGGCAGAAATATTTGGATTTTTTTTATCATCTTGTTCTATGATTGTTATACCAGGATATGCAATCTATCATCTTTTTTCCATCAATGTCAACAGTACCGCCAAAGAAGTTTGTCGTTTTTTTTCTCCTTTTTTTTTTGTTGTACTTTTAATATTAACTTTTGATCACAATAAATTGTTATATTGCAATGTTATCATTCCATGTTGAAATCTTCTCAATTAATATATGTGACATCAAATTTAGTTATTGCTTAAAATATGTTTTTAATCTTTAAGACTAATTAACACTTCATTAGTCTATTTTCAGCGTTTACCACATGGTTTACATCCACCATCTGATTTCGAAACCGGATTGCCACCAACACTTGGCTTTGAACAACATAATGCTGACATGGAATACATTGATTGTGATTGTGTCAAGTAATTATAATTTACCACAAAATCATACAATATTTTGCAATTATTAATTTTTGAAAACATAAATATTTTTTGAAAAAAAACAAAAAAGAATCAAAAACTTCCACTCTAAATTTCAGTTTAAATCGACTATTCAAATAAATATAAATACGATTTCTTGTCATCAAATTTGAAATTAATTTGATGGGATGCTTTCGTTTATGTATCTCCAATCATTGTATACATATTTTGCATCTTTATCAATGATAATATTTCATTGTTGCTTTGATATATATATATATATTAACTCTTATTGTTTCGTTTATAACTTAATAAAAAAAAGGAAAAAAAATTGACGAAAATTTTTAGTTAATTTTAATACCCATTAATTAATTTGTGAAAAAAAAGAAAAAAACAGAGAAGCAATTAATTAATCAATCAAACAATCAATTTAACTAAAGCGAAAAATTTGTAAAAAGGACACAAAGCATTCATTATTGCATCAAAAAGAAAAAGAAAAAGAAAAACAAACTGATTGATTAGTCAAACTGAAAAAATTAATAAAAACATTTCGGTACTGTGCTTTGTACTCCTTATAATAAAAATCTTTTTTTTCTTTTTAAATTACATTTTTACATTATCAATGCTCATATTTTTAATTGCAATGATAACAATAACTGACAATATATTGAAATAATTTAACTTTGATTGGTATATATCACTTATTATTATCATTTTTATTATATACTAAAATATTTGATCAAGTAATTAATAATTTGTTTCTTAGTAATTCCATTTTAATAAATATATTGTTTAATGATAATAGTAACAATTATTATTACAATTAAATACTTGAAAATTTAATCATTTCCTTATTATTATATGCCTTCCATTTTTCTTTTTCCTTTCGCTTTCATTTGTAAAACATAGAATTAAATTACTTATTTACTTATTCGGACAGCTTATCATATATATATATATATATATATAGCAGGTAATTAATTCCAATGAACTATTCGAATAACTTAAAAAATTCTTTTTAATCGTTTTAGTTTTCCGTCATAATTTTAAATTACATCCCAATTTTTATATTGTATAGAAAATTTCACTTTTATTTTTTTTTCATCAAATTTCACGATTGTATCTGGCATAGTTTGCAGTCATGTATAGAATTTTAATTTATTACGTATATTATATATTATATATATATCCTTTTTTTAACAAAACAATTAATTTTCGAATTTTTCATTTTTAAAAATTTTTGCAGTTTATAATTCAAAGATGTATGTATTTTTTCATCATATCTTTTGTGTTGTGATAACATGATTATATACTCAAGTTTATGTGTTTCACAATAATTTTTCTAAATAATAGATAATTAATTTATTGCCAGAAATAGTTCGTTTTTCTGGAAACGGAATTTCTCAACAATTAAAAATTAATCGCTCATTATCCTAGCATAATCAAAATTGGAGGTGATTTATATGAATTATGCTCCCTGAAAAGATAATTAATAATTAAGCTAACAAGTTAACCATAAAAAAAAAGTGAAAGAAAACAACTCAATAAAATAAAA